ATTACAGACAGAATTGTACTTTAAAATAGTTCTCGACATGTCCTTTTTGACGCTGAATGCAACACCATTCCTTCTGATTGTTTCATTGCCAGCATAGTAATCCATTTGAAAGGGCAATATCAGCCCATTTCAACTTATGAATGCCTAGAACGTCGATTTTTATGTTTTGCATTACATTTTTTTCAACTTCCAATTTTCCTAGATTCATACCTCCTCTATTCCAAGTTACAATGATTACTTCACATTTGCAGCTGTTTCTTCTCATTTTCATCCGGCCCCATCAGCAAATGAAGGTCCTAAAGGCTTGACTCCCACAGGCTTTGCTCTATCCACGTCGTTATGGCCAAACCTACTTTGAGAAGGCAGCTCTTCCTCAGTTAGAGTTTGAGTGCTTTCCGACCCGGGGGATCCCCTTCTGGCATTACTTCGGACCCTTGCTGCTTCTTTCCGTGAGGTCTGAAGTATCTGAAAATTCTGGTTCCTTCCATAAGGTTCTCTGTGGCTAATTCCTCAGAAGTGGGCAGCTTATTCCTTCTTAGCCGACTGTTCTCAGCCTGGAAGCTCGGCTGAAACTCTGAGTGACCCTACTGGCATTTGAATACCGGTCTCATAGCTTCCGGCGTCACAGAAACACACCAGCCACCCTGAGTACGACAAACTGGCAGGCAAGTAGTGGCCGGTTAGGTGCTCTCAGGTTGGTGACAGCCCTGTGAACAACGGAAAGAAACGTCCATCCTGCATCACTCTCACAAGAGTCTGAGCCCTTTGTCTGAGCTGCTATGTTGCCCCACCTCCTGGAGGATCTTCCTTTGTTGTTGCTGTTGAATTTCTACCGAGAAATGATGCCTTTCTCCAGGCAGTAGTCCTTCTTGAAAACATGTTCAAAGTATCTGAGATGAGTTTCACCACTCTTCCTTCTAAGGAGCAATCCAGTTGTAGGAGAGAGCTTAGAAAGGTTTGTGGAAAAACTGGCATTAAATATAGTGGAATTTTGCCATAATCTTATGAAGCCTCCTCATACTTCACCATAAACATCTGTTGGGAACATACTAAGCATCGGGACTGTGGTTTCAAGGATTCAGTGTAGTGTCGTGGCTAATCCCACAGGCTATGCCCCCAATTCTGATGCTGCCAATTCCCCACTGTGTGGCCTGGGCAAGTTAGTGAATCTCACCTGCCCTTGCTTTCCTGTCTTTACAATAGGCACACTGAACTCGCCTTCTTCAGAGGGCTGCGGTGAGAATAAGAAGAGCAGTGGTTGTAGCATGCTCAGCATGGTGTCTGACACACAATAGTGTTAAAAATTTTTCCACTCATATTATTATTCTGCTTTGAGGGTTTGTGTACAGTTACGTCCTATGAGAGCCCCTAGACCAGCTTTCCCTACTGGTGAAGGGTTTGCATGTGCGGCTTCTGAAAGCCTGAGTCAGACAGACAGACTACTGAACTAGTAGTCCATCAAGGTGTGGATAGAGTATCAACAGCACAGAGGTCAGGTGGGGGCGGAAATCGAGGTGCATTCAGGGACTTTTAGGGTGAGAATGAGCAGATGACAAGAATTAAAGGGGATAAATAGAGGGAAGCTAAATTCTACAGGGTTTTCCTTGTTTGCTGTGGTTTATGGCGGAGAGTTTTCGATGAAGATAAGGTACAGAGGGGTCAGAGGTAGGGAAGTGGGAGAAGGATGCTCCCACTTCAGAAAGCTCAGTATTGCAGAAACACTCAGGGGTCACTATTGAGTATTTCCCCACGGAGGGAGTGGGGCCTGGCCTAAGTTGGGCCAGTGGGAAAGAGAAAGAGAAGGATGAATTCTCTTCTTTTGCCTGGAAGGACGGCTGACCCTTCAGCGCTAACTCAGGGATCCTTCCTGAAGCCCCAGGAAAATTTCACTACCTCAAGGATCCACTGATGGGCTAATTTACATCCCAGCTCGTGAGCTTCCAGAGAACAGAAATGTTCCAGAGAACATATACCACTTTACGTATATGGTATATCCCTCGTATCCTCAGCACTGTGATTTAGGATGGGCCCTCGCAGGTACTACCGGTTCAATGTTTGCAGAATAAAGTTCTTTAATAAATGTCTTTTGGGGGAGAAAATGACTATCTGTATCTAATCCATCAATGGAATATGTTCTAATCCTTTTGCTTTTTCAACATGCTTAGTCATCAATATGGTCTCACATTAATACGTACTTTGTTTGAATTGTTTAATTTAATTAAAATCAGCAAACACACTGAGTATGTTCTAATTGGAAGGTGCTGTGCTGTGGTATGTCACGATTGCCAATTTTTTTCTCTTAATAATACATTTCATACTCCTCAGCCAGGGCACAGAAAGGTAGTCCGTGTTAAAATTATGCTATTTCATCTGAGTAGATAACTGATGCTTTAATTAAAAGGCGATGGAGCTGAAATAAATTTGTATTTGATAGCACCCTTTCCTTTCCTGGCTGCAGTAAACGCATCACTCCTGCTGGTGATTTTTCACCCTGTCTTGACTAAATTGATAAGACTTTAGTTGTTTAGGTGCTACTGAAAACCGCAATGTAAGGATTTTTTTTATAACATTTACTTCTACTCTCATTAAATCATGTTTATGTACACAGCTATCATATAAGGCTTTTGCTTTTTCCATTGATTGATATTTTTCCCATCAAGCTTTTTTTTGCCCTTTATTTTCAATTTAAATGAGCCAACTATACATCTGTGATACCAAAACCAAACTGAACACACTGCCGTCAGGTAGATTCCAACTCATTCGGACCCCACTGGACGGGGTGAAACTGCCCCTGTGGGTTTCCAAACGATAATTCTTTATGCAAAAAAAAATCCAATTTTAAGCAATGATGAGTGTTAATAAAATACAACATAACTCTTTCTGACACTAATTGTTTTTCAGGATGGCAATATTCACTGCTATTTGGTGCTCTAGTATTTTCGGTAATGTGAACATATGCATAATTCAGAAAATGATTCACTTTATAATTGTTTCTGAACATACCTACCAGGCCATCTGATTAGAATACTAGCTTTTTCTCAAAGATCAAAGAGGAAACACTTGCTTACCCCAAGAATACTGTGTTTAAAACCACAATTAGGTAGAGGGTTTCTGATTCAAAATTATGAGTATAAAAATTAGATCTGCTCCAGTAATAATCACCAATAAATAATATTTAGGCCATACTGATGATGTATAAATCACAGTGCTGTAAACGTAAATGTTGTTTCCTTCACACCTTTCAAAAACCAATATAGTTTTCTCTATTTTCTCTGTTTTTCTCATAAGCCCACTACACATTTGTGAGCAGAGGGATACGTAGTAGAAATTTGCTTTATGTTCAATAATGTAATTCTTGAGTTATCAATTCACCCAAAATGTCATTCTAAACAAAAATTGGTAACTTATCATATATACAGTATGAGGTTCAGTGAAAATGTCATGGAACTAAAAAAGACTGGCTTCACATGTCAAGATGCTTAAACGAAACACAGGTGAGGGGACTTTCAAAAGTTTGTGAAAATTGTAATTAAAAGATAGGGGTACTTCTGCACAACTTCTGGGAAATCCTCTCCTACTCATATACAAGCTTCTATACAAGTCTATTGGAACTATGGTTGGGGAGGGGGGCATGGTGGGATGACTGTCAAATGTTAAAGGATGCTGGTGGTGAATGAGTTAGGCACTAATCTGCTAACAGCCAGTCTGGAGGTTCAAATCTCTCAGCTGCTCTGTAGGAGAAAGAGGAAACTCTGGCCTCATATAGCCTGACAGCCTCCGCAAGCTTCTACAGCGTCGCCAGGAGTCTGAGCCAGCTCCGTGACAGTGGGGAGGAACTATGGGTCATTCAGACGCAGCCTATAATCAGTCTCTCAAGGGCAGCAGCCTGCACTGCCCTAGTAGGTTATCAAGTGGTGAATGCTGCAATGGAGACACAAGTAAAGCCGTGTGGAAGTTCAAGGGGCGGGGACTCAGATCTGGAGGTAAGGGTCCTGTTTGCACGTTTGCATTTTGTGTATGTGTGTACACGCACATGAACGCATCATCTCTGAGTACCTGGGACAGACGGACCAGGGTCTGGGCATGTATGGGGCTGTCTCAGAGAGGAAGCTTTTTCATGAGTCCCTGTCATAGATAATTTCATAGAAGATCACATTTTAAATGATTCAGTTCCTACATCTGACTCGGAAATTACTGGTTCACACAAGAGAAACAAGCATACAGATGCTCCACCCAGGTGTATGTATAAAATGATCAAATATTAAAAGCAGCACGCAGAAACATTTTCAACCATGTTGAGAAGAAATTTGAGAATTATGTTCATGTGTAGAATATGAAGTTACTATTGAGAGTTATATTTCCAACAACTAAGTGTAATTCATTAGAAAAGAAAGTATAAAAGTAGGACACAGTCTCTCTTCGTTGTGTGCTCACAGTGTTTTCAGAATCCCACACATGCTTATTAATAATTATTAAATAAATAGTGCAGAACATTAAGAAGTTAATTATACCATTAAATATATAAATGACCAAGTACAGGTAATCCTCACATACAGTCTATTTGAAATATAATGACCAAGTACAGGTAATCCTCACATACAGTCTATTTGAGTTAAGAAACTGCAGTTGTGACTCTCAGGTCTTGTGTTTTGTTTGGGGGGGGTACATCTTATCATTTATAATAGCTACTACATACATTGTTGTAGTACATGATATGCTGATAGAATCATCCTTATGCAAACCCCCCAAAGATATTTAAAGATCAGATTTATAAAGATACTGATAAGGCACTAATAATGAAACCTAAAAAAATTAAAAATGAGGTAGTTGACTTACATCAGAACGCACTTAGGATGGAGTTGTTGGATTAGAACCTGGATGTAAGGAGGAAAAACTACCTGGCATGCTGATGAATGCTACTGAGAATGTGAATCATTAAGATCCACTACGAATAGTCTTGATACAATCCACATATCAAAGCAGTAAAATGTGCTTCTTACCTCCTTGTTCACACAACTGCTGGGCTAACGCATCTTTGAAAATAACTTGGCCCCTGTGTGTTGCCGTCGCCCTGGAAATAAATAGAAAAAGGTTAATCCAAATCTGGTAATGCATTTTAAATCTTAAGCAATGTATCCTAAGAACTTCCTGAGAACCACATTCTTAAAGTTTATTGTGTGAATATTATTTTTTAAATGAAGTGCATCTGAACAACAATGTAAATGAACAACAGAGTCCAAGCTTAACCACAGCACCTGAGTCTGGAATTAACTTCTAATTTTACTTAGTAAAAGTATTGTGGCATATCTAAGTTTATTCCAAAAAAGCAGTAGGTTGGAGCAAAGCCTAAATAGAAGAAAAGGTATGGAAAAAGACATTTATTAAAATTTCTTTTAGGGGACCTTGATAAAACAGGTTTCGTGAAGCAACAAAGATATTAGTGCTGGAGAAAGATGTTCTTAAGGTACTTTATTTCTAAAATGAACAGTCACCATATCACATAGAGAGTTGTAAAAGAGAATTACATTTTTAAAAGCATTTTCAAAAAAAGGGAGAGAGCTATTCATAGTTTCCATAATAACAAACTCTGTCATAATAAAATACACCTTCTCCCCCCACTGGGTATAATTCACCATTTTAAGGAGAGGTGCATCTTTTACCTCTTCTAATCAGAGCTGCGCACATGGATATGTGAAAAAATAACATGCTTGCAGCAGATGTGTTGTTCAATGGCTATAACAGGAACTGTCTTATTAAAGGAAGAATTATTTATGCTTTCTATCTGAAGTGTTTTCCCTGAAAATGGATTTTTTTTTAAAATTCAAGCACAACACATTATTTAAACCAACTTTAAAGAGAAAAAAATTCAAGTCTTCTTAAGAAACTTGATTTTAGGAAAACAGAAAATAAGTCAGACAAAATAAAAAGATGTCAACATTAGATCTCTAGTTTGGGCCACAAAAATACTACTTTGATTCCGAGTCATCTACTGGAGATGGATTGTGTGCAAGGCATTGTGTGAGGACTCCAGGGGGCAATTTGGCCCCTGCTTTTCTCTTTGGTCACTGTCTCTTCCTGCTGGATGTCAGGGCCATTCTCTCCCAGATTCTGGCTCCCTCCCTCCCATACAGCTGTGCCTTTCCCTTCTGTGTCCTCCCCTGTTTGAGTTCCGTCCCCCACCAACTGTTATTGTCCCCTAGTCCCGGTCCCCAGGGTCCAACTCCTTGAGAGTTGGACCTGTCAAATGGAGCCATGCTCAAGTCCTAGTGGTTAGTGCTCACGCAGGGAGCAAAGTCCAGCAGCCGTGAAACCACGAAAACATTACACATGCCAAAAAATGGCACAATGGTGGAAGTCTGAGGAGTAGCAGAGAGATATAATTGGAGATAAAAAGCATTAGGCTTTCAACTCACAGCACACATGAAATCTACCAGAGGAGTCAACCCTTCTTAAATTAAAATTGAGCTATGGAAATGCCAGACACATTCATGCGACTACACTTTATGTTTTCACAGAGGTTTTCTTTTGTGTTCATCAAGCTAACGATTGAGAGTTCTGACCATGACCTACAGACTCAGCCAAGAACGACGGTTTTGCGGTAGCGCCATCTACCTAAATACCCTGAAACCTGTGGGAGCCAGATCTTGACAGGACAGCTTGGTTTTTCCACCTCACACAGCTTTTTGGTCTTTGACAGAAAATGCTCTTTTGTCTTGATCGTCCTCTAATCCAAAACTGTGCCCAATACATAGCTGCCCTTATTTATTGAAGCTCCTTTTGGACACACATGATTTCTGTTGGAATCTTGACCACTTGGCCAGAAAGCCCCATGAGGCTTGCCCTAAAAGACTGCTTCTCTTGATCCCCCTCCTTCTAATTAGCTCATTGAAGCTTCCCCTTTCAACTCACATTTTCTTTTACGGCACCTTGCCCATCGTTTCTGCTCTCATTCAAACCCAAGAACATTAGTCACCATTTCCAGCCACACTGCTGCCCAAATCCTGCAGAGATACTTAGTACACACATGCCCGCTGAAAGATCATTCTTGTGTGCTCCATTTTCTTTATAAAGCAGTAAATTCCTCAGATAGTATTTCAATACAAAACAGCCCAAACCCTCCGGCCGCTGCATGGTTAGACATTTGCAGCCTGCACACTAGTTTTCAATCTCGGGCTAAAGAAGAGCAGAAGCCTGATGCGCCGCAAGAACAGAAGCTCCACTGCTCTGTCCTGGGAGATGTCTGCCCCCGGGGTGCAGTTATGTTGATTGTGGCAAACCTGCTTTGAACGCATTTTGAGCTATGAAATAATTCACGGTGACCTCACAGAAGACAACATTCATTCCAGATCTTCTGGGATTACACTATAATTTAAAAACTGATGAAAGCATTCCAACTCAGAACCTAGAGGTCACGTCCTCGAATGTTGAACCCACAATATTTTATTTTCTTATCAGAAGATACAGCTATGACGTAAGTGATAGGATAATATGCTCTCAAAATTTTTATTTTATAGAATGTATTGTTCACTTTTGTCATGCTAATAATTATGTTGGTCAATTTCCACTTAATTTCCCATAATTAGCAATAAGTGTTCGAAGGAGTTCAGAAAATGTATTCAGTGTTCACTGTTCTGGGGTATAAACCAAATTTCTTAAACAAGTCTCAAATAAGTACTTGTCTTGGGAGAGGCATAGAACTCCAGCACAAGCTTGCCAACAAGAGCCCCTATTTAATAAGTAATTTTAAAATGCTTTTGGGCAACCATAATCTGTCATTTGGAGAACTCAAAAGATTCTTCCAAATGAAGAACATTCTTTGAATCACCATATTCAGTGCTTAAAATAGCCTTCTCTGTTGCTAGGTCCCAAGAACACACCATATTCTAATATTTAACTGGTCTCCTACCTGAAACTGTCTGCCCTGAGCACTTAGGGATTAAGTGTGCATCATGGTGAGGCTCAGAGGTGAAGCTCACCGACATTGCAGCCATCAGGCACTCTCATTTACAGAGTATATGACTTTGGGGATCACTTCTTTAATCCCTTAGACATCATATATTCATTATTCATAACTGGAGCATACAATTATTACTTAAAATATTAATAATCACTCTTCACCTATTTAACATCATTCAATATAGAGTTCAAGCTTTTAGCTATCCCAAAGCAAAGTCCACTGCCACGAGTGTATTCTGTCTCCTAGTGACCTTGAGGGACAGAGTAGAAGGGTCCCATAGGCAAAAGATATAGCGTATGGGGTCTTAAAAGCTTGAAGGTAAACAAGCGGCCATATAGCTCAAAAGCAACAAAGCCCACATGGAAGAAACACACCAGCCTGTGTGATCACGAGGTGCTGAAGGGATCAGTTATCAGGCATCAAAGAACAAAAAATCATATCATTATGTACTCACTTCCCTGATATGATCGCTGAAGACAAATGGGTGCATAAGCAAATGTGGTGTAGAAAGCTGATGGTGCCCGGTTATCAAAAGATACAGTGTCTGGGGCCTTAAAGGCTTGAAGGCAAACAAGCAGCCATCTAGCTCAGAAGCAACAATGCCCACATGGAAGAAGCACACCAGCCTGTGTGATCACGAGGTGTCGAAGGGATCAGGTGTCAGGCATCATCAGAACAAAAAATCATATCATAGTGAATGAGCCAGGGAGTGCGGAGTGGAGACCCAAAGCCCATTTGTAGGCCATTGGACATCCCCTTACAGAAGGGTTTTGGGGAGGAGACAAGCCAGTCTGGGTATGATGTAGCAATGATGAAATATACAACTTTCCACGAGTTCCTAAATGCTTCTTCCTCCCCACTATCATGATCCCAATTGTACCTTGCAAATCTGGCTAAATGAGAGGATGTACACTGGTACAGATGGGAGATGGAAACACAGGGAATCCAGGGCAGATGATCCCTTCAGGACCAGTGGTGTGAGTGGCGATAATGGGAGCGTAGAGGGAGAGTGGGTTGGAAAGGGGGAACCATTACAAGGATCTACATGTGACCTCCTCCCTAGAGGATGGACAACAGAAAAGTGGGTGAAGGGAGATGTCGGACAGGGCAAGATATGACAAAATAATAATTTATAAATTATCAAGGGTTCATGAGAGAGGGGGGAGGGAGAAGAAGGGGAAAAATGAGGAGCTGATGCCAGGGGCTTAGGTGGAGAACAAATGTTTTGAGAATGATGAGGGCAATGAATGTACAAATGTGCTTTGCACAATTGATGTATGTATGGATTGCGATAAGAGTTGTATGTGCCCTAAATAAAATGATTTTTTTAAAAAGAAGGGTCCCATAGGATTTCAGGTTGTCATCTTTCTGAACGCAGACAGCCATCTCTCTCATGGAGTGGCTGGTGGATTCAAGCCGCCAACTTCGAGCCAACAGCCAAGCACTTAATTAACCACCAGGGCTCCTCTCTGGTGTAGGAATCATTAATTAAGTTAGATATATCCCCCATAGGGCACCTGCCATAGTGCCTTGCATATATGTGGGAATCGAAAATATTTAGAATTTTTTCAGCTCATATTTGGCTTCCAGTGTGCAAAATTGCCACCCTGCTTCCAAAGAAGGAGTAAAAAAGGAGTTTTAATGCACAGTTGCTGTAATGCCTACATTCCCAAGAGTATTACTGCTTTATTTTATGCGTGAATTTACACATAAAGAATCACACTACGTGTGTCATGTTTAAATCAAGGAGAATGGGCTTTACCTACAGTGGTGGGTTACTTCTCCTAACATTCTCAACCGCTACAGTGATGGAGTCTGACATTTTCCAGTGTCTTTCTTGTCCATTCACAGCTGGAAAGGCATTTACTAATCCGCACTCTCATGTTAATCTAGTGTATCATCAGCATGTCTACCCCAGGACCCCACCCTAGGAAATGTGTGTGGCACAAGGGAAAAGGGAGAGAGAGGTGGTCCGAGTTTGGTAAATTTGATCTCCAAAGGAATAAATTCACTGGCAAAGATCCCAACCCTCTTTTTATAATCAAATTAGGGTACTTTCTAATGAGGTTATGATTTCAGGAGGATTTGTTTTGATGTTAAATCTTCAACTCAAA